AACTTACCAATCAATCACCCATCAACCAACAACCACAATCAGCCATTGAATGAACAATCATTTAATCAATGACTTCTTGCCAAATTCTTGGCAGGGGCAATTAACATAGAAGTTACCAGTGTGTAATCTTAGCTTGACTGACATGTTGAAGTGACTAAACAGACAAACCTTAACAACCCCAGCAACGGTACAACAAGTTTGAAGTACAGCTAGGTGGAGAGGAGATAAACTATGTTATGAAAGGTGCATGTTCCCAGCAGCCTTGCCACTCCATGTCCTAACAAGCATGGTGATTAAGGCCCATATAATTGGTGTGTTTGTCTGCTGGCATCACACACTGACAGGACGGTATGTGGATTTATGACCTGAACCTACAGCAACAGAAGGAAGACAATGGCTTCCAGGATAGAAGAGACACTCTGGGGCAAAACATGGGCCATGATCAGGCACAAAACACCACACCACATTCCAGCTGTCATAGAGTTACTGTAGCTTCACTTACTTTCACAGCGGTTTGGAATGGCAGTAGGAGGCAAAGGGAGGTTTTCGCAAGGTTTTGAATTTCCAGTAGAAACATTTCTGCAGTGTAATTGTAATGCATTTAAGGACGTATCGACCCGATTTACACATTGGTAAGAACCTGATGTTATGAAAACGTATCTTCAGATTACGTTACCTGGAGGGCTGGTATACAATCTTGATGTATGTCAACCCGGGTCGATTTATATATAGGAAAAGCGTACAGTTTTCGTACGCTCGCATGCATATACAGTTTTTGTACCGTCGGGTTTTTGCCGGTGTAGAACTGCCTTTTCAGTACTTTTTTTTTCTTTTCTTACCATCAGGTTTTTGCCGGTGTAAAACTGCCATTTCAGTACTTCCAGGTCTACCAGTTTAGATGTTTGCTCTTCAATTTGAGGCCACCATTCAGGCCAGGCATGCCCTGACCTTACCACCATTAACAGCTGACCCTTGCCTTATATGGGCATGATGGCACCTCTCTAAACCCCTTACAACTAAGGAGGGCGGGGCACCTTCTCCAGCCAACCAAGACGTCTTGGCTTCTGGAAGATCACTTCAAGACACTGGCTCTGATCTCTGGTGACACTTTGGATAACCTGTCCATAGTGTCCATTCAAACCAGTTGAGGAAAATGGTCACATTTGACAGGTGGTCACTTCAGACAGGATTGTCAATGGGCAAAATGATTCAAACTTTAAAGGGGCCAGCAAAAAGTGGCCACTATGGCCAGGTGGTGCTTAGGAAGTGTATCAATGACCAGGTAGTCCTTATGTAGATGTCACTAGTACAGGTTTGACTGTGTATCAATGGTCAGGACTGGTGGACTTTATGTAGAAGTGGTCATTAATACAAGTTTGACTGTATATCAATGAGCAGGTGGTCTTTATGTACAAGTGGTCACTGGTACAGGGTTGACTGTGTACATGTATCAATGGTCAGGTGGACTTTAAGTATAAGTAGTCACTAGTACAGGGTTGACTGTATATCAATGGTCAGGTGGACTCCATGTACTATAACTAGTGTAAGTGGTCACTAATACAGGTTTTATCTGTATATCAATGGCCAGGTAGTCTTTATGCCTAAGTGGTCACCTGTACAGATTAAGCTGTAACTGGAGCTTACAGAATTCCACCTGTCAACTTGTGTGACTTCTCACCTGAGTATTGCGTCCTGCTGGAAGGAATCTTCAGGTTAAATTTCCTAAGGAATCTCCTGACAGACTGACCTGATACTTGAGGTGTGTCTGTGCATCACAATGCCTACTTAAGCAAACACAACAACACAACACACCTACAGAGGGTGTCACTCCAGACTATGTATGATGTACAAAATGGCCAATTCACTCGTGGATGTACATGTATCAACTACTGACATGTCCAAATTTTTTTTCCAGAACTATGATCAGAGAAACTCGCTACCACCATGTAGTACAGAAGAAGCATCCTTTTTGGAAAGCTTTAAACTGCAATGTAGATGTACAAGGGTTAGGTACTGTATGATGCGTAATTCAGAGTATGATAAATAAATTAAACAGCTACAGCCATGCCACATGCCTACTAATCAAAATTTTCATTGGTAGGTACAGAATAGAACCATAAGGCTGTAGAAAATGTGAGTTTTGATGATGTGGATGAATATTGAGTGCCACTTGCTACAGTTTTCATTGATTTAAATATAAAGTATTGTTTCACTCCTAATCTTGCTATAAATGGAATAGACCTAAGGACTTGAGCCAAGACTTCTTACATCTTAAAACAGTTGTTCTTCACATGATATCTTGGCACAGCTGCTAGCGTGACTAGGAAAACCACACTTAAGGTATGACTCAAGATACAACTTCTTATAAGGAGATGTCAGATGCAGTCAGGACCGGAGCCAAGTCTTAAGTCTCGACAACAGGAGACACCTTCCTGCAGTTGAATTCAATAACAATGTATCTTGT